TTTGTAGGCTGTTCCAGCAACCTTTCCAGCTATCTGGTTTTCAGCAAACTGGAGTCGGCCCCTGATGCGCTCGCCATCCTTTTGCGTGAGGTAACCAGACGAAAGGATGTCGGACAAGGCCTCGAAGATCTCGTCTCGCCTCGACTCCGTGTTACACAGAGTGATACGTCCGAGACGGGACTCAGACAAGTCGAACTTCAACCCCAACACTTTTGCACAGGAGTCGAACACAGATTCTTTGTCTTCGGCGACATCCCACCCCAACAAACGGAATACTAGGCAAACACCAATGTCGAAGAGGCGGGCCAGAGGAGCCAGCTCCACACCCACAAAGTCGTCAAAGTAAACGTTGATGTGGCATAAAAACAGCACTACAAGGACTTTCCATATCCCTAGTGACACCCGGCAAAATGCGTGCACACTGTGCCGTGATCCAAACGGAAGAACCTTCTGTCGGAAAATTCGGGGACATTTCCCTTTTGGGTCGTAGACGCACAAGAAACTGTCCTCTAGCGCCTCCAGGGATAGTGGAAGGTTTTTGTAGGCCTTGTGAAGGTCCCAGGACTTCAAGAGAAGTTGGTGCAACCTGCACTTTGCATCGGCCCTCAGTCGACGGGCCAAACCTGATGCTATGCAGTCGGCGGTGTGCACGGTGATTGTGTCGTACGATGAAGATGTGGCATTCAAACCACTTTCAAGGTAGTTATCGATGGGCCGTGTTTTGTTATTCTGCACAACGCCAAAGCGCCTGGTCAACAAAGAGCTGGCCCCCAAGTCGCTCTCTTTCAGCGGCCCGTCCAGCCACCCCCGCTCCACCTCGTCCAAGGTGACTCGGTAAGTTTCAGCATCCACCACATCATCTCCTGAGCTCTTGGTAGAGTTTAGGATGCCCTTCCGCATTCGTTGTGCTGACCCTCGCAGGTCATCGACCGCCATGGTGGCAGCTGTACGCTTAGCGCGGAACTCAGGGCAGTAGGGGATCGGACCTCCTAAAGCAAAACCCTTAGACATATCCGCAACCAACGACGGATCATTGTGGCCGGCAGCCTCAATCATCTCGCCGAAAAGAAGCAGCCTTTTCTTGCTCAAGGTTCTCGCACAGTGCTTGGGCAGTGTCTCCTTATACACACGTTCTTGCTCGTCGAGCTCTGCGGCTCGCCCTAGCCACTGACGTAAAGCTTCAGTCCTACTGGCACCAACGGTGTGCATGCCCTCCGACGCCAAGAAGTCAATCGTTTGCTGCAGCTCAGGTGGAACTCCTGAGCTCATAAGACGCGGGTGCTTAGCCTCAAGCGCTTGCTCGATGAATTCATCGCACGTCCACGGTACTCCAACCCACGTCCTAAACCTATCGGGAACCCTACCTAATGGGGGGGAGCCTTCCTCGGGCCCTGCCGGTGAGGAGGCTTGGTGTCCTGGCTGTTCGGGTAAAGCAAACCCCACACACTGCAGCTCAGCCGTTTGGTCTGCAGTCAAGCGATCTGTGTGATTGGTGGTGTAGGCAACAAGTATGTCACGTGTCGCCCCATGCCTGGGCATTGCACAGTGCTTATGGAGGGGGTTAAACAGGATCCTGTTGGACTCGAACTTCAGCTCACAGCCCATCAAGTCAGGCACGTTCGGATCTGGGCAGGGCACGTCCCCAAGCTCATTGTGTATCCAAATTCCACCCTCGAAAGATGAAAGTTTTAAAACACAGTTAGGGAAACCTTGGGCATTGTTTTTGTCAACATGAACCCCTCCTTGAAGGTTTCGTCCAAGCATGATGGCTGAGAACGGATGCCCTGGTGCATGCTGTTTTACGAACCGACACAGCATAGTACTGACAGCCGGGTTGAGCCGCAGGTTAGTCCTAACCCCGGTAACCCCTCCCTGTGCATAGGCCCCTGTGGACCACGAAAACTCATCATCCAGGCCAGCACCTCTGGCCAAGCGATCCGACTTCAAGAGCTGGAACAGCTGAGTTACATCATCAGCCAAGATAGTTTTCTGTTGAAGGCACACAGAGGCGAACTGCTCGACGGGGCAGTTCGGGTTTCCCTGATTCCTACTGCTTGGCTGGGATGAAGGTCCAGAACGCGGCGTCTCTCCACCCCCAAGTGCAACACGACGCAATATACGAGAACCCATGGGCAGCTCTGGCAAAGGCGGGTCACACGAGGCTGAGGGCGGAACAGGCACGGCCGCGGGCAGCTTGGCTGAAGCAGGCAAGAAGTCATGGTCAGATGTCACAACGACCACATCACGGAACTCAGCGACCATAGGAGCAACCTTCTTGCCACGGGGCTGGGAGCCGAGACTGACCTGGGCCGCTCTATGTTGCTGCCGAACCTCATCTGACAGGGAACGAGCAGGCAGCTGGAACCCACGCTGGCAGAGCTCCTCAAGCAGGAGCGCGGCGACCGCCTTGCACAACCCAAGCGGGTAAGCGGTCTCCTCACTAGTAGCATAGCGGAACTTAGACACACGACCCCAAGGCAAATGCTTATGGGAGGCGGACTCGCCAGGGCACGTCAGGCTGAGTTGGTCGAAGGCTGGCACGTTGTGCACCCACAACGTATGCTTGGGGCGGCTGCCCCCGTAGCAACAATGGTCAAACACAGTTTCCCGCAAGGACAAACCGGAGGTGCCCTGACGCCACGCAGTGGTCTGCCACATGAAAGAATTCAGGGGATTCTCGCAGCTGACAAGCTTGCCAGCAAGAACCGCCCGTTTCAGGGCTGCAGCGGTTACGCCATAGAGGCGGTTGGCCGCAGCCACACGTTGAGCCAAACGATCAGGAAGCCCGGGTAGGCCATCAGGAAAGGTATCATCCCGACACGGTTCGGGATCGTGATCGGACTCTTGGATCAGGCGAGCACGGGAGCTCGTGCCACACGGTGGTGCAAAATGCACATAAAGGCAAAAAGGGTTGTCGATCATATCATGCAAAAGCTGTACATCAAAATCGCGAGTGAGGTCAAGTTTGACCATGGGACAAGGGCAATGCCTGGGGATCCGATGATCGACGCCACAGGAATCTTGCAAGCCCACGGCACGAAGGGCCACAGTAAGACGAGCGCTGCCCGCAAACACTTCAAGAGCATGGAAAACAGTCAGCTGCTTGCTACCGCCAGGGTGAGCTGCACTTTCTGAAAGGGGAACATCAGGCCGGGCAGGCAACACCTCCACCGGCAACAAGCCAGCAGGCACAGCAGCCTCTTCCACAGGGGCCGCAGGCTGAGGGTGGGAACATGAAGTGATTGCGGGCTCCGCCAGTCAAGCGGGTTTCTTAGGGCACACATGTGCCCCATGCATACCTCCACACCGCATGCAAACGTGCAAGCCCTTGCTGCAAGTTTGTCCAGCTTTGGCGCCGGGACAGCCTGCGGCCATGTTAAAACCCCAACAGCGCCGCTTCCCTGTTCGTGTCCATGATGAGAGACCTCGCAGCTCAGAAGGCAGGTTGGCGGGCTCAGTAGGGGTTTGCTTTTCCTTCCCTTTACCTTTGCCTTTGGGCTTCCGGGGTCTCTTGGCTGGGGGCCCCTCAGGGGGTCAGGAACGCCCGGCGGGGCGGGCGCAGGATGCTTGCCCGAAGAGTCAGGAAGCGGCAAAAGGTGAAAGACTACGCGCGGGTCCTTCTGCAAATCAGCCCAGAGGCTATCCAACGGCAATTCACCGGTAGCCTTGCGACGCACCCCGGCTGGGGTTAACTCGGACAAACGGACCCAGGCAGCTCTATCAGCGTGAAGGAGTTGCTGAACAGTGGGGCTGCGGTATCCCGCCAGGACAGGCTGCTGTAGGTGGTTCATAAGAAAAGAGTTCCACTCTTGCACGCGAGCATACGTGCTTAGGCCAACAAGGTCCATGGCCAACGCGCGACGATGCAGGGCCTGGAATAGATCAAGGGCATGCGTCACGTCGCAATGCTGCTCTGCAGCGCGGTCCTTGATAAGGAGCACGGAAGAGGACGAGCCCGGGGCTGCGACATCAAGTTCCTTGCGGGGCTTATCCATACGCAGTTCCGCCTGCCGGCAGGTAAACTTCGAAGGCTGAAGATACGAGACACAGTTGTCAGAAATCAGCTTCAGGCAAAGGTCATAGCTTGCATGCGAGCACTCGTTGACACCAGACAAGTCAACACCTGCAAGGCGGGCAGCTTGTTTCTGCAGGCGATCACGCCGTTCGGCTGGAGGCAATTCTTTTGGCTGCTCTTCTTTATTCTCAACTAGGCACTTGGTCTCATTGACGACCAAAGTTTGTGCTTCGAAGACTAACCTGCGTACCGCGGCGACGGTACCAAGAGAGGGCTCGGCACCACCTGCACCCCCGGGGGCAGCTACTGGAGCAACTAAGGCCTTGAGTTTCTCGTCACTGGGGGACTCCCCGGGATGACCAGGGGCAAACGCCAGTTTGGCCAGAGTGTCGACGCCCTGGTCAAGCAGCCGTTGCAATGCATCATCTGGCAACCCCACCTTAGCGGCACGCTCTTTCAAAACTGCAGTAGATTCAGTCAACAAGGCAGACATGGCGCACAGGATCTTAGGGTAAGCGAAAACTGGACCTAACAACACCTGCACAGAGGTGCTACGGCAAACTGTGTAGACTGTGGCCAAAGAAGCTGCAAAGGTCCTAAGCACCGGCCATTAGAGCTTCCGAAAACGAGGTCAGTAGTTGCAAACACGATTTGCAAAACATGATGTCAAATCATCTCGTAGAATGCACCTTCTACAAACTCTGCAGCCGTGATCGAACCACGAGCTACAATCCTTGAAGACTGAGCGCAGCAGGTTGACACATCGCATTGTCGAGTTGCAGTTTGCTACAGAGAGCCAACTGAAGACAACAAGCATGTGAGCCGTGGCTGCTGAAACAGTCAAGCTTCATCCCTGCAGGAAAAAACAGCAGCTGGAACTCCGTGGTACCCAGATATACTGCCGGTGCCACGACCGGCAGTAAGGATGTTGCCGCGAACATCCGCAAATGCTTCCACGAGCCGCACGCAAGCTTTTCACAGCGCCTTACCTCTCGAGGCGCCTGTCCAGGTGATGCAAAAGCGAGCCAGTGTCTCGGATGGGCTTAGCCATCGTACACTGCTTGCACTTCCAATGCTTGCTGTGCACTCTTCCAGAGAAGGGAACAAAACCTTTTGCCGGCCGACCGCAAAGCATCTTGCTGTCGGGCGTCGCACCTCGGGCCCTTGCGTGGATTGATTTGGTCTTAGGGTTCTGGAAGAGATCCAGGTCCACCCCTATGGTTGCACGCGGGGCCTGCACCTCGAAGCCTCGGAGGAAGCCATCATAATCAACCGGCTCGCTGGATGAGCCCGAAGATTCACTGTCGCTAGAAGACTCCAAGGAACCTGACTCACATACACGATCTGGGCTCACGCCACCGAAGACTGCATCTTCCTCGGCCTCCCTGGCAACCTCAGTCTCACCTTCCTGGAAACCGGGAGCTCGATCCAAACTTAACGCTGAACCCCTCTTTGAGAAGGTGCTGCCTCGTCGGGCGCCGTGTCATTTGCAGGGCCAGCAACACTGAAGGACGGTGCAAAGGCCGGCTGGAGAGAGGGGCGAGAAGCAAAACCACTTGGGAACTCATCAGGCGACTCAGCGTGCTCCCTGATCATGCCACTGCGGGTCAAGTCTGGAAGGAAGACCCCCACTCTGATCGATTTCAAGCATGCACACAAGTCTCTCAACGGTCCCGCCTGCACATCGCGACCATATGCTTCGGAAGTTTTGCCCCTAGCCCCCAGTGAGTGATGGCCAAGCACGAGGATGGTACGGTCCCCGTAATTTGCCTTTGTCACCCACGAAAGTGTTGTGGCTTTCAGGCCATGGCTCGTTAGGCCATCAAGGACCTCGCCCATCAGCGCCTTGAGGATGCCATTCAGCCACCTTGTGGTTTCAGCAGCATCCACCGCATCCCCTGACCAAGTGTAATCGCTGGCAAAACGGGGCAACATCGGACCTCTGAAACCTTTCTCAAAGTCAAACCCAACATCTTTGGCAGCCTGAACAAAAGCAAGCCCCCAAGGCTGGGAGGCGAGCCCCTGGATCGGAGCCACCAGGATGAGGACAGCACTGGGTCCACTGGTGATGCGACGGCTTTTGTGCTCGTACGTATGTGCTTCGATATACCCTTCTGCCCCGGTTATGTCCAGGTAAACCTTGAACAGATTACGCAAATCAGACACTCGGGCTCGAGCATACAGCTGAAACAACATAACTCCGAGCGCATATCGATCAAAACGGTCCAAATGGCCCCCGATCAAGGCCTCTTCAAGATGCTTCACCTCCTTCACAGTCAAGGTCCGTGATCGGTGGGCATCCCGGAGCCGGATGTTGGCAAATCTCATCGTCCCTTTGAACCATGGGTGTGAAGTCACATCATCACTCACCTGAAACCCCAACACAAAGCGACAAAAATTCAAGGAGCTTGCAAAATCCCGGATGGCACTCTTCTTGTTACCCGAAATAGCATCCTTGAGGTAACTCCGGATCTTCTCAATTGAGAAGGGGAAAGCATCGCACCCATTGTCCGACGCCCAATGCACGTATTTCCCGATGCAGCGGACTCTTTTCAGAAGAGTACTTGTTGCCTTGCCCTCAAACGTCTCAGACACAAGCTCGGCACCATCACACGCACTCCCCGCAAGCATCTGGCCCATTGAAGATGCACTGGTATCATGCAACAACACACACAACCATCGCCGCACAACTGCTTCCCTGTCCAATGACTGCTTGACCCCTGGTTCGAGACGAGCCTTGCGAAGGACCTGGTCAAACACAGGCGGTAAGGAACCTGATGCAGGCACAGAAAGTGGCACTCTCTTAGCGGCTTTGAGTTGATGAGCAGATACCGGCCACTGTGGTATATTAGGTCTTGGCATGGGCACACGTAGAGGCTGGGCGAATGGAACTGATGTTTGCACTTCAAAAACGCTCTTGAAAGGTGGCTTCTCCCAAGGCATCAATTCAACACTCCGGGCACCTGAAAAACCAGCTTCCTCGATTGCTCTGTCAAGGTCAAAATCAGCTGGTCTTTTGCGATTCGACATGTTGCGCAGTGTACCGCAGTGGAAAAGTATCTCAGGCAGCTGCACACCAGTATCGAAGTTGAGGCTGACACTCCCCCCCCCCCCTGCACAGGAAGACTCAAGGCAGATCTGGTGGTCTAGTCCTCGTGGAGGGACTGCCACTGAACGTGAGGGAAGGTTCTCTGCAACGCCACAACAAGAAACTGAAAACAGCTCTGGTTATGCAACACCCGCTCCGTCAAGGATTCAATGGCTGGAGCAGGACGCACAAGGCGGGGCTGCAGGCGGGCAGAAGCACGAACGTGGGCCTCTTGCAAAGGAGCGATCTGATCACGCAAGGCCCTAACTTCTGCACGCAAAGCCTCGACCGCAAGATGGTATGCACTCAAATCACCCTGAAAGACAGCTACCTGATGCCGCAGGGGCTCAACCTGGGCAACCTCACGCTGAAGCTCTTGAAGAACGCGATCCGCTGGGTCCATCCACCAGAGATCACTCTGGCTTGCACGCCCTCTAAGAGGGAAACTTGTTGAAAGGATCAGGCCTGTTAACAAGCGGAGCCGTTGCGCCTTCAAGCCCAGGTTAGAAGAGACAAAAATTTTTCTGTGCACCTTACTCGAACCGAGGTGCTGCAGATATCACACGTTGTTTCACAAAACATGACATCTGCATTCAAGAAAATGGGCACGTGCTGCACTTGCCATTTTAAATGTCATGATGCGTGCATGTGTGTGCATCACAAATGGACACGTCCCGTTTTAAAACAAAACACCGCAAATGCAACCAGAAATTTTTCCCAAGAAAAATTTCGTGATACAGCCACAGAAATAATGCCTTGTCCATCGCGATGGAAGGCCGTCTTCAGATTGCAACTCGAACGAAGCCTGGCTTAGCGAGGTCTTGCGCGACTTCTCTTGCTTTGCTAAGCTTGCTCTACCGTGTCGACAGGCTGTGTATATTGGTATTGATGCACGAGGCGCACATTACACCACATATAAGCAAGGTACGGTGCATCAACAGACTGTCACCCACAACAACATCCCCTCCACAATTCCCACCCAAGAAAAGGCACTGCGCATTTATGTCTACGATCGGCAACCTGCTGTCTACCATTGCTTCTATGGGGTCCATCGGGACCCTTTGCCCCTATGACGACGATTCGTGACGTGGTGATCAAGGTAAGGTCTACGACCTTCCTTGATCACCTCAATGCCTATGTTGCTTGTCGTAGACATCGCGCACGTGTCAGATCCCTCAACAGCATTCTCCTTGCCTACAACCTGCCACTCACCTATCCCACAACACGTGAGCTGAAGCTTGCTCTCATGGCCAATGACAGCCGACCTTTTAACCTAATCGCTGCTATCAATCTTCAGCTCCCGACAGAAGAGCTTGAACTTGCACTGAATCTCATAGCTGACAGGCTTGTTCCTTACTTCGACACGATCCCAAAGGAGCCGTGCAAGCTGCAGGCTGTCGTTAGTTGGAACGTTACCTCGCTGTGTACCTTCGACACTATTGGCCTTGCCAAGCTTCGTACCATTGGTGCGTTGGCTCACCAAACGCCCGTGCTTTTGCAGGAAACCAAATGGAATGCTGCCTGTTTACACCGATTCAGACAGGCAACAGCCAGAATAAATACGATTGCCTCTCTCGCTATTTGGAAGGAATCTGGACACTCTGGAGGAGTTGCTGTCTGTTTGCCACAGGACTATAAAGTCGTAGAAACTGTTGACCTTGTGCCTGGTTTTGCCCTTGCCGTGCTGGTCAGATTTCGGTCTGTCTGCTACTGGCTCCTGTCGGTTTATTGGCACCCTGATCAATGGGGGAAGCTTTTCCCTGCACTTAGTGCTTTTGTCAAGGATGCAACTCATGTGGTTGTCCTTGGGGGGGACTTCAATGCTGTTAATCAGCAGAAGGAGGGTGAGTATGCACATCTCCTTGCTCAAGGCGACATGATTGAATGCAAGTCTGACAGGCCAACTTTCGAGCAAGGCTCTACCTGCAGTCACCTTGACCATTACCTTATTTCCAGTTCGCTGTACTTGTCCGCCAAGATCTGTTCTGTCTCTTGGAAGCACAAAAAAGTAACTGGAGGACATCACTTGGTAAAGATTCGGTTTCGGCCGAAGCATAAGCTTGACAAAGATGTCCCGGCGATACCTGTTCGGACAGTTCCTGCTGCGGCTTTTTCTGTTCCACCTGCGACTACTGACTTGCCTGGCATCGAGGCTGCGGAGACTAGCCCTTCGCACCTTCTTCTTCGTAAACTAATTAATTGCACTAAAGCCCGCTTGATTGAAGAGCAGAACAATGGTCAAAAACTCTGCCCTTCTGACGCGCTCGTTGCACAAAAAGCCACATGTTTCTTGTGGCATGCAAACCTACGTGCCCAAACTGGAAACTCAATTGCTGCATTAATTAGGAAGTTGGTACGCCTTTTGAACAGGAGCACTGGTGCGACTGTCGGTGTCAACGCAAGCACCGTCACATCTTTAGCCAGGCATATCACCATACCCCCTTTCACGCCGTCAGGTAATGGTTCAGCCGAGCTCCCGAGACATTGGCTTCAAGAAGCGCTTAATCGGCTACACCTTGGTGCAGAGCTGAAAACTGCCCCCTCACCAAGTCTTCGTTCCCTGGTTGCTCAAAGAGATTTGCAGGTTGATAAGTCTAAAATTAAGTGGCAGGCCTTCAGGAAAATCTGCCCTCGAATCATCGATTCGCAACAGGTCAGAAGCGAAAATGGCCAGCTGATCACATCTATGAGTCAGTTTGATGCTGCACTAAGGGCAACTAGAGCCTTTTGGCACCACTTCCCTTGTCAATACGATAACCAGTGGGACAAACTCCTACAGCCATATGCGCAAAGGGCCCCCTTCGTGCCGGCTGACTTACCAGATGAAAGCATCATCTTCAAGGCCATTATTACCACCAAGGATTCTTCCCCGGGTCCCGATGGTGTGCCCTATGCCTTCTATAGGCAAAATCCGAGTTATTTTGCCAACTTACTTGGGGATCATATGTGGGAGATGTGCTTGTCTCAAGCTGATCATCCGCTTCAGGCCTTAGTCTTCATTCCCAAGGCAGACAAGGGTGCGTACGCGGACAACTACAGGCCACTAGACATGCCCGATACTTGTGATCGAATCATTGACTCCGCAATCTACGCTGTCCTTGCTGAGTCTTTCAAAGACTCGCTACATCCTGCCCAGGCTCTTCTTAATCACTTCAAAGAACCACAGGCAAATTATGCCCAAATGCAACACTACTTGGAGCTCAAAGATGCCCAGTACACAGTCATGCTTTCCGACTTTGCCAAGGCCTTTGAACGGGTGAATCCCTGGTGGGTACTACAGTGCTTAGCGGCAAGAGCTGCCCCTGCCTGGATCAAAGCTTACGTCATCCACCTTATGTTTGGGAGGCGCACCCAGCATAAAGTGCAAGGTTTCTTGCTCGAGCCTATCTCCATCCACCAAGGCCTTGCTATGGGAAGGGCGACTTCTGTTGTCCTTTTCTGTCTCGCCTTAGATCCCTTGATTTGGGCGCTGCACGACATTTCTTCCTTCATAAGACTAACGGCTTACATGGACGATAACAGCGCTGCCTCCAAAGGCCTGCATTGGGTGGAAAAGGCGCAAAGAACTTTCGAACCAGCGCACAGCGCGGGGTTACAAGTTCTCCGTCACCAATGCTTCCAAGCAGGGTTTATTTCTTTACAGGTTCTCCCTGGGGATGTCAGAGCATGCATAGCCCAATTTGGTGTCGCTTGGATTGAGTCCAAACAGCTTCCACCGAGCAATACTCTCACCATTGGAGGTCCCTCATTGCATCAAGCCTTGTGCTTACTGCTTCAACAGAACATCTACAGCCTCGACCAAGCAATGAGGATGTCCTTGACTAGGCTTGACGTGCGACACGGACTGCTCTTAGTAAGCGGAAGCAAATGCTACGTCCTGTCTAGCGATATGCTGCTTTGCATGTGCACACAACAGCAAAATTTCCAGGCTTTGTTGGCTTGCATTATTGCATCGCCTTGCAAATGCAAATGCAAAACTTCTATTCTTACCAACAAGCCCTTCAAAACTGCTGATATCCTTCTCCTCGACATGACGCCTTGGGGGTCTAAGATTATTGCTGAGACTGCAACAATGTTGGGCTTTATCCTGCGTGGCCGCATGTCAAAATATGAATGGGAGCAAGCAACGTCTATTGATGAAATCCATTGGGTTGGACAAAGGAAAATGTCAGATGTTTCCTTGCGCATGCTGATCCTTGATAAGGCCTTGTGCAATATGTTGAGAAGGAATAAACAAGCTCTTTCCCTTACTGCATCAATGCCTGCCAGGATTCAATTCCATACGGCCTTCATTGCCTCTTGCCCTCTTTTCTGCAATTCCTTGTACGCCTTCACCAAAAGGCATATGCTCAAAGCACTAGCTATTGCCAGCTCAACTATTTTGAGGCGTCCCTGGATTCAGGCCAAACATATGGCGGGCGTTTTTGATTTTATCAAAGCGCCTAGGGCAATGGATCCTGAGATAGGCGCCATATTATCTAAAGTTGGCCTACTGCTGCGCTGGAGAGGCAAATGGGCTTTAAACGTTATCCTGCATGACCTTGAAAATGCG